TGAAAATGGATCACAACCCCTTAAGGATGCTCTGCTGCTGCATGGCATCATAAACAAAATGGCTCTGGAGTTCAGCATAGCACTGACATTTTGGTTATAATGCCAATAAACAAGAAACCCTCCCGTGGCACATTGACTGACTTGTTTTGCTCACCAAAGCCATGAGGAACTGGAATGTGCTCACAGAGTTACTGTGTTGCTTTCTCCACCTTACTAACTAAAATATGGAGTTTTAGCAAGGTTCAATGTATTGCAGTTTGCCACCATACACAACATTGCACCCTCTTGCTCCACACCTTTGTCTTGTTATGGGTTTTTTCTTTAGCTCAGTTGCTGAAGACTGGAGATAACTTAAATGAAATTTACTCTGAGTAAAAGGGTTTGGGATTTTTTGTGTGTAGGTTTTTTTAATAACTAGTGTGATAGAAAGCTTTTGGTGCACAATAGGATTTTTTGCATGTCTGGTGGAGAAGGTTGTTGGTGTGCTGCTATGCTGGGTAAATTTGTTGAATCATCTACTTGGAAAGACACGCTGATAAAAATGAGGAGGCTGGGACTTCATGGCCTATTTCTGCTGTGAATACATCTTCATTAAGTGTGTGGTCATCTATCGTCTCTGGCTCAGAATGATACCCTGGTCTAGCTAACAAGATGGGTTATTCCAGGAGTTTCCTAGTGTCATGGTGAGGGAGAAGATGATATAAAATGGGTTGTCATTTTCAGAGCTAATACCAAATGCATTGATCTATACCAGCACTGCTGACTGCCTCCCACTCCTTGTCAAAGCAGTGAAATGCTTTGGTGTCATTTTGGGAATGTGTCTGATGGGAGTGATATTCCCTCTGGCAGGCTACAAGCAAATTGGGCTGTGCTGGTCACCAGCAATATCTTCTTTTGATGTAGGATTGTGCTGGCAAAAGTGATGCTTCTTGCATCACTTGCGTAGACAGAGCCAACTCGTGACCACCAGTGTCCTGAAGAATCAGTTGAAATTTGCCAAACACCTGCCAGTCCTCTGCAAAAGAAAATTACTTTTTCTTAATTTGCTTTAGAGCAAGCAGGGCAGGAAACTCAAGGTTCTACTTGAGACAGCAGCTAGTTAAATTTAGGGGAAAGCAACATTTCCCCCCCTCCAAATTAAGAGGCAAGAGACTTAGGGATGCAGAAACATATTGTGGCTGAGCCTAAGGACAGGCCTGTGGGCTCTTTGGAGCTCCTCTGGAAAACAAATCTAAGACAGAGGAAAGGATGTTCTAAAAATAATGTGGAGTTTTATTTACACAATTTTTACAGCAGGTATTCACAGAGGTGCTTAAATTCTTTTTGGAATGGCTGAAATTTGACTGCATCCCTCAATCTGAGTCTCCAGTGTACCCTACATACACAAAATGAATGTTCCATCATTTGTCCACCATCAGCTTGGCTTCGTTTATACCATAAACCAATGGAGATCATTGACAGGCTGAGAGAGTTGGGCAGGTTCAGCCTGGAGAAGAGTAGGCTCTGAGGAAACCTTATAGTAGCTTTCCAATATCTGAGGGGCCTACTGAAAAGCTGGGGAGAGACTTTTTACAAGGGCATGTAGAGATAGGACAAGGGGTAATAGTTTTAAGCTAGAAGAGGGTAGATTTAGGTTAGACATTAGGAAGAAATTATTTAGGGTAAGGGTGGTGAGACTCTGGAACAGGTTACCCCTGGGAGGTTGTGGATGCCCCCTCCCTGGAAGTGCTGAAGGCCAGGTTGGATGGGGCTTTGAGCAACCTATTCTAGTGGGAGGTGTCCCTGCCCATGCAGGGGGGTTGGAACTAGATGATCATAAATGTCCTTTTCAACCCAAACCATTCTGTGATTCTGTGACATTATGGATTCAGTCCTACAGCCAAACACCTGCTGAATTCCATGGGTAGGATCACATAAAAAGCTTTGGTACTGGCCTAGACCTGATAAGACGTGTACATTCCTCTTAGCAGTGAGGGTTTTACTGCAAGAACCTGGTGTTAGTGAGAGATCTGATGGATCTTTCTTCACCTCCTCAACAGGAAGAGTAGTGTCTTGCAGCATGTTTGTGACTTTAAGTTCTTTTCCTCTCAAGAATGCTTAACTCTGGCAAGATGTATGTTGTGATTGCAGCCTGGTACAAGGACAGAGGTGAGTGTGTGTGAGAGAGGCACTTTGGGACAAACCAAAGAAACCCACCTCACACATGCTATAATGGATTGACTTACTGCTGCCCAATGGGTGTAGCATTTTAGGTAGCTTTTTCCTTGACATCATCTGCACAGCCACCAACAGAAGTAAGTAGAGTTTACTGACTTCTACTTTGGACAAAATAGTGCTAACAGACTTCCTGTAGGCACCAAACAGATCAGCTTACATCTTGTTTTTTAATTGCTGCTACACCACTGATCATCATTGCTGACTTATGATTTTCTCATCAGCGTCAGGATGTCTTGTCTCCATTTGGCCCCATTGGGTTCTCAGACATTTTAAGAAATAGACATCCATTTCACCTATTTCCAAAACAAAAAAGCAATAGAGGTCCATTTTCTGGGGGTATTAATTTATGCACTACAACTGAAAGCTACTTTGAATATAACTCACACATCAGACAGCGCTAAAGGTCTTTCTACATGTTCTATGCTATATCTCTAACTGGCTATTTAGAAGATATTCACATGTAATACACACTGTACAGCTTCTCTGTCCTTAGAATATAGCTAGAGTATTGTAGAAGCCAACATTTTTATTATTTTGTGCTGATATTTTCCCTGGGTATTCCTTACTTCTTCCATGTAGAGATAAAAGTAGCTGCTGTAAGCAAGGCATTTTAGGTGGTAGTTTCACGTGTAACTTGTGACTGACTCTGGTGGTTGCTGTTGTAAAATAATAGTGGTTTGGGTTTTTTGCATCCACAACTTGGGATAAAATGTCAGAACTTACAGAAGTGCTAACCTGTGAGTATGAACTTTTGCTGATGAGGAAGGAAGTATCTAGGATTTTCTTGTACCTTTTTGCTGACATATGGTGCTTCTAACCCAGTGACAAATTAATTGACTAGATGTAAAAGAGATGGACAGTGCTTAGCCAGGAAGGACAGGATATGCATTATAAGACAGCTGGTTCTGCCTCTGTTGGATTATGGAGACAATATACATTGGACAGCTAACGAGTCTCTGTTGCATAAGATAGATTCTCCTTATAATAGAATTGAACACTTTGTCTCTAAACAGGGTTATTATACACACCATTGCACAGTGTTTGAAGAGCCTGGTTGGCCCTTGTAGAGGGTTAGGAGAGAAATAAATTGGAAAACAATTGTACATAAGACTTTCAATCCATCAGCTGCTCCATATTTATCCAAATTACCATTACACTCTTCCAAATTACAAATCTGTGATACATTCAGGGGTGGAATGTTAATACTGACTGGCCAGATTTTGACAAGGCAGATTTTTCTTTTGCTGTTGTTCTTAACTTGCAGTAACATCTTGCTTCCTCAGGAAGAAAAGGTGGTAGTGGAAATCACTTGTAGTGACTTAACAACTCTCTACTGAGAATATCTTTTCAATCTAATTTTTGCCACTATGCAAATTCCAGTCTGAATTTCAGGAGGTTTTGAATTTTCCAGAGATAAACTGTGAATAACTTAATTTATAAGGTACTCATCAGTAATATTCAGAGTTTATGGGCAGTGCTTGCAAAAGTAAGATATGATTTGAAGTGGTTCAGTTTTCAGGTCCTAGCTTGTGATCATTATAGTGCACAGTTTTCAGAAAATGCTGAAGTCTAAAAACTCCAGATTGCCCTTTAAGATTGGACACCTAGAATTTCACATATTCAAAATAATGAGCCACTTTTCAAAACCCTGGCTCAGTCACTAAGCAGGGCCAAATGTGGTGATTCTAGGTGATGTGATGGCACCGTTTCCCACATTGACAGAGGCATTCTGTCATAAGAGTTGTAGACACAGCTTATAAATAGACAGCAAAAAGGTTTTTTTTGTCAAAGCCAGTGTAAATAATTACCTGTCCTACCTGCTACTTGGCATTTTTATCTTCTTTAGTTAAATCTTTTGTCTTCTAGTCTGACTTCCAGTCAAAGAACTCTTCTTTTTAATTCCATCTCTCCAGGTACCAGACAAAGATGGGATCTCGCTAAATAATGTTAAATAACAATCTTAGTCTGACAGGGTAGGAACTAATAATATTGTAATGTGCAAAACTATGAAGGTGGCTTTGTTCAGTGCTTTATTCCTCAGACTGAAAACAAGTATGTCCTGAAAACACCGTAGATACCAAGATTTCAATATAGCTGTGGTTTCTGTTTGAGCGTGGTTGTATCCAATATGCCCAATATATCCATGAGCATACTGCTTTAACATAAAGGAGCAGGAGACACATGACATTGCGATACTCCTTGGTGGTAATTGTGCTAGTCATAGTTGTTGCTGCTTATACTTTCTTTCACTTTCCCATAGCCCCTGAAGTTAAACTGAAAAGTTCTGTTTGTGTGTGTGTACGTGCTTTGCAGAATTTTCTTTGGAAGAAGTTATTATTTTGTATAATCTTCCCCTGACATTTCTATAGCCTGCTCACATCCTGTTGGGTGAAGCTGTGACCCTTAATGTAATGCAGTGTGGCTTATAAGAAGAAAGTTTGTGGTAAGCACAGTTAGTAGTAATTAATTTCTCACCATTGGATACTTTTCCAGTGACTGTTTTATGTTCTCTGTGGTAAAGCATGCTCACCGATGACAGTGTTTTAAGAATATTTCATTTGTGGTTCAAAGTAGCTGGATGTTTCTCTTAATGAGCTCTCCCACTACTATCACAACAACTTTAAATACCTTATGGCTAGTGAGGAAAGACTGACACACAGACAGATTTGTTTCTGCAAAGATCTTCCTGATTGAGTTGCATTTTTCAGGGAGCTGATTTCATCACAGGTTGTGCTGCTGCTATATTAGTTTTATAAGAGCTTTTCCTTTTGCCTTTTTCTTAGGAAAAGGAGAGACTGTATGTGGATTTGAAGCACGTCTTGGCCAGGCAGCCTGGTCCTGAAGCTGCAGAACAGTTGCAGCTCTACCAGCACACTCTTCGAGAGAAGACAAAACAGCTGAAAGTAAGAGATGCCCTTTATCTGTGGCTGAGGGGCTGTCAGGGTGGCAGAACAACTTCACCAGTGGTCCTGGGGAGCAAGGCTTCAGGAAGATTTTTTATTATCAGTGTGCATGTCTTAGTATATTAGATCAGGAAAATAAGATTGCATCTCCCCAAGAGAGAACCAATAGCAGTAGAAGAGCTTTTTTCACATTATGCTAGTTTGTTTCATTAAAATAGAGGAAATGTCTTATTAGAACATGAGTGTGCAGCACAATGCTGTAAATGCTTTCTGTGTGCAGGCATTCTTGGACACCAGTTTTCTATTAAGCTTATCCTCCTCTTTTCTTGAGCTGTTAAGATCTCTAATTAGAAAAACAAAGCCATTTTGTTTTCTTTTTGAACAGCTAGTGGAAATGTATTGAGAATCCAGTCTTATATTCCTGTTATTTCTCTTGCAATGCCTACATATATATTCAACTTCCAATTTTTATAGGGATGACAGGAGTAACCTGTCCTAACACCTTGTCACTAGAAGGGAGAGTTTCCTGATTCTGAAAGAATCTTGTGGGAAGCTTTGAAAGGATGATATTAAAAGTGACTCTGATAGAATAAGCTGATCTTTCCTTGTTTGTGTCTGCATGAAAGATCAGTCTCCCCAGGAGTTCATCTACTTCTACAGTTCCTCTCTCTGTTGAAGTCATCATCTCCTGTTCACTGCATCATAATCACGTCTATACTAACCATGAGGAAATAAATGCAGGAGCAGATGGGCCCTTAGGAAACAAAGAGGCTGTTATGCAAATCTTAGCTTTCCATAGAGAAGAAACAAAATGTAGAAAATGTGAAATAGAAGCCAAACTTTAGCTAAACTGAATGTGGTTTGAAGTTTTCCATACGGTTCTTGTTTGTCCTTAATGCGGTCAATTGCTGCTGTGCATTTCAGGCACAGCATGTTGTAGCATACTGGCTTGCATGCCATTTTGTGGTGCCAGGGCAAGCTTTTCTCCTTCTTAAAGAAGGAATACACACTATGCATATTGCTACTTTTTAAAAAAATGCACTGATTCACACACAAGCAGCATTGTATTTGTATTTACCCTGCCAGGTAATATGTTGCCTGTGTGGATTTGATGACTTCATGTAACAAAGTGTATCCCTGTGAATAAATCCCATTGCTATTAAATACATCCCTGCTTTATTTTGGGTTTTCACCCAGATTTGTGTCCCTGAACATTAATAGTTAATACATGTATTAATACCATTCCTATATGGTATTAATGGACATATTTTATATGTTTTATTGTGGTTAAATGGCATAGCCTTAATTTTGTAAATTGTCCTTAGGTCAGCAGAGGTGACAGGCGATCAAAAGAACCATCATGAGAGAATTTAAGGTGTGATGGAAAATGGTGATGTGTTATATCATCAAATGTGAAAGAAAATAGTGGTTGTAAATGTGCTAACATGTTTAAATGAAACTAATATCTCCTGTTTCTGCTTTTCGCCTTTTATTTGTTAGGCTTTGTCCTCAGAATTGACTATGTATGAATCACAGAGCCAAGGATACAAATATGAAATTGAAAGGCTTGCCAGTGAGCTTCTGAATGTGAAGAAGAAATATCTGGCTCAGAAACGCAAGGAACAACAGGCCAAGTATGGAAAGAACATTTTCCCATAACATTTCTGTGAAACTTTCTGCATGAACTAGAGGATTTTTAGCTCCTGCTTTAGCTGTTTGATATAATATTGTTGCCTGATATTCCTGAATGTTATCCCTCATATTACTTCAGTCTGGTCTAGATTTACCGTGATGTATGGCCTGGAGAAGAACATCCAGCAGAGATGTTGCTGACATGTTCTGCAGTCCAGTTAAATTATTCATACTGATGAGATGGTGCCTAGAGGATACAAATTAGTGTCTGGTCTCTCATGTCTAATGAGAGATCCTCAGGCATTATGAGGACCTCAATGCATTTTACAAGTTATAATGAAACAGCATCTTACATGGGGGATAACCTTTCATCAGGTGGCAACTACATAATCCTGGTGTAAGAGCAATGCTGTTGTTTCCAAAATGTGGTAGTTGTGATTGATGACTGTGCCCCTCTGGTGGGAGGTATCACTGCCAGTGGTTGCAGAGAAGAGTATTATCCATTCACTTCTTGTTCCCTTCCTGCATCCAGGTGGAGGAAAGTGAACAATGCTCAGAGTCTGGCTTTGTCAGACATCCTACCCTTTTGACAATAGAGCCTAAGGACTTTTTTGTAGGTGATTTTTGGCTCTTCTTAACCAATAGCAGTTTGATGACACCTCCCTGCTACTCTCAGTCCACCGCTGAGCATTTAGCTGCTCCTCTTAGAATTGCAGAATCATTTTGGTTGGAAAAGATCATCATGTTTAAGATCATCATGTTCAACTGTTAACCTATCACACTGCCAACTCCACCACTAAACCATGTCCCTAAGCACTGTATATACGTGTCTTTGAAAAATCTCCAGGGATGGTGAGTCCACCACTTCCCTGGGCAGTCTGTTACAGTTCCTGACAATCCTTTTGGTGAAGAAACTTTTCCTACTATCCAATCTAAACCTCCCTGGGCACAACTTAAGGCCATTTCCTCTTGTTCTATTGCTTGTTGCCTGGAAGAAGATATCAACCCCCACCTCACTCCAATGTCCTTTTCAGGTAGATGCAGAGAATGGTAAGGTCTCCCCTCAGCCTCCTTTTCTTAGAACTAAACAATACCAGTTCCCTCAGCCACTCCTCTTAAGACTTGTGCTCCAGACCTTTCATGAGCTTCATTACCCTTCTCTGGACATGCTTTAGCACCTCAATGTCCTTTTTGTAGTGAGGGGCCTAAAACTGAACACAGCATTCAAGGTGCAACCTCACCAGTGTTGAGTACAGGGGGACAGTCTTGTTTAAAATAAAACTACTAGGATCTTAGTTGCCCAATTTTTGTCCCATTCAAGTCACCTAATTTGCAGAGACTGAGAGATTAGTCTATTCAGATAAAGAGTCTCCAAGCTGGGACACCAAAACTATTAGTCTCTTCTGAAAATTGAGTTATTTGACTTTCCTTTCAAAGAGAAGTTTCTTAGATTTCTTCAGTCAGATGACATGATCAGTTACCATTTTTTTCTGTTTATGCCTTTTATCTTTCCACTCCTTTCCATCCTCAGCCTGTCCTTTCCTCACACACCAAAGCCAACAGTTCTCTATGTTGCTGAGTATAATTCAAAGCTGCCTGTCTCTCTTCCTTTATCATACCTCAGCCAGCAAACAGTTTTGATGACTAAATCAGCAAAATAGTCAGTGATAAACAGTGACTTTTGTCTATCTGCAAATTGCATAATGTTACCTTAATGTTTGGAATTAGCAACAATTGTACAGTGCTAATGGCCTTCCTGGAGCTTTAGGATCAATATGTGAGGCTACCATAATGCCTGATAATCCATTTCCAGCAGCTAAGTATCCTCTTCACATTAGTTTTAATGCTTCCATTTCGGACCCTGGCATAATGTAGCTTTCTGTTAATCAGATTAGAAGAAACTCATCCATGTTTTGTTGTTAGATTTTACCTAGAATTAATTCCTATCAGAGCTATTGAAAAAATTAAACTTGTTAGGGGCATAACTGCTTAAAGTAAAACATAAGTATTGTGTGAGGTGATGGTGACTGAACTTGGGTCTGTTAATCATATATAGTTTGTGGTGCAGGTCAGTTGGTGCTGGACTCATTACCCTGTTGGTAGGTTCAGGATAATCTGCTATTAGTGCAGCTTGTCAGGTTGTTATTCATGTGGCAGGCATGACTGTAGTCTGATGAGCATGGTGTCTTTGTGACATCTGTGTTTTGGAAGTACATTCAGATGCTGTTAGTGGTGTTTCTGCGGAGCAGAAGCATTTCATTGCCCCTACCCCAGGCTCAGAGCTACCAGATCTGTGCTGTCAGTGCTGATTTGTGCTGCTTTGGTCTCTGTGGCAGCTGAGAGGTGCTTGGCTTTGCTTTCCTCTGTCCCTTATTGTTTTGTTCCCAGTCAAACCTGTTGGACCACAGCCTGCTTTGAAGGATATGCACGCCTCGAAGCATGATTGGACATATCAATGCTTGATAACTGCAGCTTCTATAATCTCTAGACTGTGCTTTGCATTGCTCAGCAGCAGTGCAAGGGAAACAACCTTGCTGTGCAGCCTGCCTTCTCCAAACTACCATTTCTGCGTGACACGTCTGTTGCTTTCTGCAATAGAGGGAATCTTTTGTGCAGCCAGACCCTTCCCCAGGGAGTCCTTCACTCCTGACATGCAGCCATTCCACACTCAGACTGGGCTGGGCAGGTCATGCCTGGTGTGTAGATGCTAGCTAAAGAGCAAGGGACATTTGATTCGTACAACCTCAGGTTGCTTTAAATCCCAGCTGACACAAAACCACTGACTTGATCTATATCATGCTGGCTAATGTTAACATCATGTCTGAAATAAATGTGGCTAGTTTTGCTAATTAAAAGAGGATCCGGTCAGAACAACAGCATTAATAGCATTATTGACTACCCTGGTACAAAAGGGAATTAATACTCTCAGATAACCTCACACAAAGGTATCATCTAAAGCTTTTATTGATTTGCAAAAGACAGTTCTAGTTTGTGATTTAAAGTCTTGGTACTGAACTAACGCAGCTTTCTGTGGGACACTGATGGAATCTAATGAGGAACAACAGGAATTTAGCATTGTTTTGTGTTCAAGCTGAAAATCCAGTGTTTAAGATTTTGGTTGTGAATTTGAAATCTTTTTCTACTCTCAGATTCTGAATGTCTTGGGCTTCCTTCTTCTTAGTCTTCCTGTTCATCTGCTTCGTGCACCTTTTCTGCCTCACTGCTTGTCCGAGTTGCTTCCAGCACCACGGTTCCAGTTTGACCTTGATAAGGATCAGCAAGAAAATATGAAGCTTAAATCCACACCAGAGGCCTGATCCTGCCATCCTATATATGTAAATAACTGCAGTGAGGGATGTCAGTAGCTGGGAGGTTTTGCACGTGGTTGCATAATATATTTCAGTATTCAGCTGCATAGGATTTTCCATACTGATGAGCACATCTGTTGGCTTTTTCAATGGAAGCATGAGAAAGAATGAGCATGGACTCTTTATCATTTCTTCTCCCCAAAGTTGGAAGCCCAATAGTGAGATAGGATGAACCATCTAAATGTAGCATGTTAGGTTTTAAGTGCTGTCAGCTGGCACATCCATTAGTGTTTCATTGATATAATTAAAAACATTTATAAATGGTTTTCATGGTAAAGTTAATCTGTACCATCTTTTGCCTATTCTCCCTCCTCCATATGAGTTAAATTTGGAAAAGGAAGCATAGCTAGTCATCCTACAAGGTTTCTCTGAACCTCCTCCTCTCCAAACACAGATATTTAGGGACAAAGAGAAAAGTATTAATTCCAGGAAATACTTTCTTTTCCCTTACTTGGGAATGAGTAAGGATGCTAATATGACAGGACTAGTTCTTGCAAAAGCCTGGTTGGACTCATGTTTGTTTCTCAGTCTTAGTGACTGTAAAATAGAAGTAATGGCACTGACCTTCTTTGGAAAGCCTCGAGCCCTCTGCTGTTATGATAAACTGGTATTTCATAAAGTTCCACCTGGTTAATTTTAAATATCTCAGGACTTTTCTCTGAAACCTCAAGGTATGTCATGGCACACTTGAAATACTGCCCTTTGTATTTGTCCTTCTGTGCTTATCTCCTCAGCCTCACAGGAGGCCAGCCAGCTAACACCTGTTCGCTCTTGAGGCAATCGAATTCAAGCCCTCCTGAATCCTCAGACAGAGCAACTTCCTGGGACTATTAGTGCACCCACAGCACACTGTTAGTTTTGTGCAAATGTCACAGGCAGGGTAATTATCACTAGAACTTTGTTAAGATGTGAAGACAGGTAACACTATTTATTCATTAAAATTCAACAACGTAAAAATATCTCCTCATTGTGCCTTTGATGAATGTAGCTGTTTGTTTGAAATCAGGGACATACTTGCTAGAATGGAAATGGTGATTAGAAATCTGAAGTCACAGAGCTCATGTACAAACTTGCTCTAATGAGATGCTCTGACCATTTTGGGGAGTCACACAAAGAGAGCTCATTTATTTCTAATTTTTAATAATTCCAAAAACCATCAGTAGGCTTGTAATTAGATCTAAACAGACACCTAGTCTTGATAGTTTAGCAGAAAAGGCTTTAATCAACAATTTTTAAATGATTTTTTTGCTATGTGGTTTCATCAAAGGAACTCTGGAGGACACAGATTTCCTTAGTTTGTAAACATCACTGGGTTGCAGAATGAAATATTTGCACTTTTTTTGTTTCTATTTAAAGGGAGAAGGAGCAATCCTTGACCAACATGGAGCCTGAGTTTCCACACCACAAGCCTGATGTTCCTCGCTTCACTGGAGGGGGCTTTGCTATCAACAGACCCCTTCCCAACATTACAGCTTAGGAACGGACACATCATCACATTCCTGTTCCCAGTTTCTTGCTAAACTCTGTTGCTGGGTTGTTGGAGAAACTGTAATTTTAAAAGAAATTCAGAGTCAACTTTCCCTCTGGAACCACTGTATTGCCTTCAGAAAAGGGCACTTTATAGTGGAATTAATCTAGTTTTGGTTTATGAGCTGTGAACAAAATCTGTCCATATGATGCCAGCACAAGCTTGCACTCATGTAACTGAATAGTGGAGACCATGCAGATGTTTCTTCTTCAATACTGTCTCTGTTTAACAATGTGACACCAGAAAATGCCTTAATATGTAGTTTTATTTCCCCTCTATCTACCTCTGTTGTAAGCACTCACTTCATTTATCTTCAGACTCAAAGGGCCTGAAAGAGATGAGAAAACAGAAGAGAAATTAATAGACTGCTGTTTCAAACCCTACTGAGCAAATGCAAAATTAACAAGTCTTGACTTAGATGTACACATGTTGCAGCTCTTTATGCAGGTGGTATATAGTAGGGTTTATGCAGTGTTTGCTGCAGTTGTTAGTAAGATCAAGGAAGTTTGGGTCACAATGTACATTATTAAGACTGCAATTCTGTTTACTCTGGTAGACACAAAGTGACATAATTATGTCTGTTCAGCTGGGAAGACTGTGCACAGTGACTGGGACAGGCTGTTCTCCCACATCAATCCTTCCAAGTGATTCAAACGTGGACTCAAAACATAGCAAATGTTTCTCTTTAATTTCTAGACACTTGGGCATTTTTGTAACTTTCAGAAATTGTTTTTGTAATACAGCAGGAGCCCTCCAACCTTTTCAGCCAAAAGAGATTTAATTACCATTCATTAACAAGTGAAATAACAAAGTCACGGCATGAGGTGCTAAAGTATAGAAAACTTTCAAGCTGTAAAAGGAAATGTTTTTAAACTGATTTGTACATGGAAGCTTTTTCCCAGCCTGGGGGATAAAAAACTTGTCCAAAGAGATATGCTGATAAATATTTCACATGCACAAAAAAAACCCTTTGCAAAGATTTTGTTCTTTCCTTTGGTGGAACACATAATTAAATATTAAAGCTACTCTGGGAAACTTTTAATGGAAGTGTTTAATTCAAAAGAATCAAGTTAAATATGACAGGGATCTACTTTGCTTTTACATTGGGGACCAGAACTCTTAGTCATCAGATCTATTGTATTTTTCTTTTTGTTCCCAAAATAGCTATTATTGCTTTTTCTCCGTCAAGTGCAGGATGCTAAAGTTATCATTCTAGGGCAGTCATGCTGTCTAAATTGTACCTGACATGTCCTTATATTTACCATAATTGAGAATAACTGATATGGGCATTTGAGTTTGTTGGGATCCCAAGTAGATTTTAATGAAGCTTCTAAAAGCTGGTATTTGTTAAGGTCTTGAGTATTCATCCTGGAGCTGGACTCTGCTATGCTTACTGATAGTGGGAAGTAATTTGTACTGAAATCAGTCATCAAAGTCACATTTATTAATTTACATGAATGAGAGAGGCACAGATAGACTCCCAGAATGCCATTACTCTCTAGAGAAGCCACTTATTTGTTGCATTCTCAACTGGACAGTGCACCACATAATTTATCCAGAAGTAATTCAAATCTTAATATGTCTTTCTGTTTGTTATCACAGTTCAGGAGACAAGGTGTTACAGTGGTCAGAACAAAGGAAGAGGAGTCAAGCAGATGGAATCTGTCCTCTAATTGCTTATATTGTTATGAAAAAACTCCTAAGGCAGAATATTTCCCATCTTTAGAAGTACTTAATAGTAGCTTGCATTGCACAGATTGGACTATTCTTACAGTAAGAAGCTCCATCTCTTAATAATTCTTGGCCTGAGTTTCCAGTCTCTAAATCAGGTGGAATAGGATTTGTCTAATAACTTGCACAGCCTAATTAACTTGTGTCTAAAGAGTGATTAGTCTCCTGATCTTAAAAAAAACATAGAGGAGTGCAAAAAATTGTGATTTTCTCACACAACATGTTCCTCCAGTCTGAAAGGCTAGGAAGTGAGTGTGGTAAATTCCAGCCACGAAGTACAGAAGATTTTACTGTGTTCATCCACAATTTCAGACATCCAGATGTGAATGTATGGGCTCCTATCTCCAGTGTTACTGCATTGTTTTCTTGCTACCAGGGAAACTAAATTCACAGGTTCGTTTGGGAAAGAAGAAATAAAAAAAAAGGCCAAGAAAATATACTCATCGAATTATTGCCAGTAACATCCAGCATAATCAGGAACAGAATAACTGCAGCCAGCTTAATTTATAGTGCTGGAGAGTCAAAACCATTTCTGAGTTCATATAATAGAATGGATTAAAGCTCACCAAATCCCTTCCCCCCAGTCTATAAAAGTCAAGGAGCTTGAAAAATTGCTCTGGGTGTCTATGAACTCAGTTGATGCTGAGGTGCTTTTAGTGTTCAAGGATTTGGCTTGCACAGCAGGGAAAGGCAGAGCCTTAATGAGAGTATCGTTTGTTCAGTCGCTTCTGCATTGTGAGCAGCAGCTCTGAAGTGCTTCTCCAAGTTTTGTTGCAGCATAATGTTAATTGAATTCCAGTCTGTGCAAGATGTAAGCCCAGAACTAGCAAGCGTGTCTTCAGCTTCTTGTTCCTGTAAAGATATGTGAAAAGATGGAGGCGAAGAGCTATGATCCACGGCACTTAAGTTAGAAGAAATCTTTCTTCACTTTAATTGGTTCAGATTGGAGCTGCAGTAGCTCACACTGTACATCTATCATGGAGTCTTTTTCAGTGAGCAACATATGTAATATTGTTAACTTTCAGAGCTCTTGCAATATGTACATAATATTTTAAGTAACTTCCCATCTAACTTAAGCTTTGATCTTGTCTGGTATGTCTGTATTTGGTGTATTGTACCAGCAGGACACAAACAAGACACTGTACACTGAACTATCAAGTTCAGAGGCATGACCGTGACCCTTCTGGGGCCACCTGTCAGCTACCAAAGACATGGCACAATAATCCAGTCATTAATTTACACTCACTTAATGAATTCAGAGCAGCAGGAACACTTCTTTCACACCCAGTAATGTGTCCTGCTGCTGTAAATCTGGGAACCCTTTGGGTCAACAGCAGTGGAAAACAGGTCACAGCTCAGCTTTGTTATTTTGAGAGCTACTAATTCCAGGGCAGGCTGGGGAGGCAGAAGGAAAGGGTGTGAGTACTTGGCACCCACAAACAGACACCTCAGAGCAATGGCTTTGCTGTGAGTGGAGCAGCAGGTGCTGGGCTCTGGGACACTAACTGGCCTTAACGGGCCTGATCAGTTCACACTCGTGCCCAAGGGGCTCCATTTAATACGTGCAGCCCTGTAAGAGAATTTCTTGTGGTTTCCTGAACTTAAGGGAGCTGTTGGCTCTTGCTGCACCCTGACAGCAGGACATAAGAGCAGACTTCTAAGTAGTTTCAAAGAGTAAGCTACTACAGGATGGAGAGGAACGATTATTCTGGAAAGGGAGCTCTGGGTGTTGAAAGCCCAGGTGAACAAGAGGAAAGTAAGGGAGTGGAATTGAGTGCTAATCTCTGCAGACTGCTCTGAAACTGAGGTGAAGGTAAGCTTTGCTCTTGTGCTCTGCCTTGGCTACAAGCAGCATGTTTCTTAGGCTGATGCATCTAATCACAGGGCTGGGATGTGCAGCATCAGCATTGGCCTTCTGCAGGTTGGCTGCTGTTGGCTGAGGCTTTGGCAGCAAAGGGGGACACTTCCACGGAGATGGTTTGAAGTTGGTTTTTAAGAGGAATTTAAGTCATGGGCAAATTGTGGACCTGTTTCTTAACCAGGATATATTTGTGCATTTTCTTTTTGGGGTTCTTGCCCTACAGCCTGAGTGCTTTCAAGGAGAGACATAGTTTCCAAGGAGGTACTCCACCCTCTAGGGACAAAAAAGGCTGGCCATGTTGACCTGGACTTCAGAGCTTTTTCTTAACAGTGAATTACCTGGTTGTACATCCTAGTTTGGCTTTAAGGGTGGTCTTGCTCCCTTTCTGTGAATCCTAGATCAGCCATTTTCTTAATTTTTACTATTCTTTGTTATTTTGCAGGTATTGCCAGTATTTTCTCTCTTTTATTTTTTTAATCTCACACTCAGAAAAGGGTGCAAAGGTTGTTTTGAAGGATGTTATTTTTGCCGACTGTATCTTGGCAGATCTAAGTTTTCCCTCCAAGACTCCAGGTGCCTCCCTTTCTGATGATGGGCACTTTAGTCTGCCCAGGTATGAAGTGGATATAACAACTATGCTCTCAGCCAGTCTTGACTATTTAAACTTCATAGTCCTTCACAGCAAGAACCATTTCTCAGGGCTCTTTCTTGGCAGAAGACTAAGCAGTAATTTAAAGCCATTTTAATCTGAAATGAGAATCTCTACATGGGGTTTGAATGCACTTCAAGTGAAGAATGTATTTGCAACTTTTGTTGATGCCTCTTAATTTTCTGAGCGTCCCTGTAGAAACAAGGTATGTTTGTGTAGTGGCAAAACACATTGATGGCTCAGCCTTGTTGAGAACTGTAGGATGGTAAAAGCATAAATTACTCCAAGAAAGGGAGTAATGTATTTGGGATCAGCAATGGAATACAGATGATTAACAATTTTTCTCTACAGAAAATATAACAAAAGTGGTCAACAGGTATTCGTGTCTCCTCTCCCTAGGAGCACCCTGAAATTTTACCCTGAGTACAGGGTAATTCTAGAGGAAAACCACGGATTTTGTTTTAAAAAAATGTGGTAAATAGATTTCAAATGCTGTGCCCAGCTCCTGTGGGAAAGCACAATTTTCTAGGACTGGTTTAACGTTTGTGTGATTGATCACAAGTCATCATGCCAGAAGCTACCTTGTGGCAGCTAAGCTGCAGCAATTGACCACAGGTATGTTCTTAGCTGGCCCTGACTGCAGAGTAAAATGTGTTTGCTTAAACCATCTTTGTTACTTCAAATAACAAGGTGCCTGAAGCAGTAGTT